TCTGATTTTTTGTTTATTTTATTTATTGTCATTTTGTTCTTATATTTTCTTCTGAAATTGTTTCAGGGTTTAGTCTGTGTTTTCCTTAATTTTGTCAGTGTTTTCCTTGATCTACCTCTTAATTCTTTGAGGATACCTAAGCATAATTCTTTTGAATTCCATATCAGGGAGTTCCAATGCTGCTTCTTCCTCAGGGATGTATTCTGGGTCTGTATTCTGCTCCCTTGTTTCTACCGCTTTTTCTTGCTTCTTTGTGTGGACTGTGATGGTCTGTTGTCTCTGAGACATTGTGACATTGTTGTATTTAGATCTCTGTTAACTGTTTGTGAAGAGCAGTTAAGGGTGAGCCAGGCTCTTCTTGATGGTTGTTTATGTTGGCCAGTTGGTGGAGAAGGAAGTGGTGGCTCTCATTCAGTAAGTGGAGCTGCAAGAGGTGTGGGTGTGGTTGAGCCATATGGGCACAGTTGCTATCTCCCACTCAGACAAAAACAATGATCAAAAAATCATCAAAAAAGTAAAAGCAAGGGGACAAAAAACACACTGCATGAGCACACAGAAACAATCACCAAGAAAAGAAAAGAAAAAAAGCCCCACAATATCTGGGAAGGGGGCAATAAGAGAAAAGAGGTAGAGTAGGAGAATAATGAAGAAGAAAATGGGAAAAAATGCAAAAAGAATAACAAGGAATGGGGTTAGCCACAGGAAAGAAATGGGAATCAGGAACAGGGAAGCGAGAAAAAGCTGAACACTAGAAGGGAGGAATAATAAAGAATAATAAAAAGGACAAATGATGATGATGATGATGATGATGATGATTTTAAAACAGACAAAAACAAACTAAAAACAAAAGGAAAAATATCTGAGCAGGGCCAGTCAGGGCACCCAGGCTCTGTCTGAGCAAACAGACTGGGATGAAATTCCTGCCAGACCAGAAGGTGGGTGGGAGTTAGAGAAGGCCACCCTTCCGTTCACCAAGAACGTGTGGGGTATGAGAGTAACAAGAGGAATATTGCACCTCTCCAGTTGTTGATGTCTGAAATATCTTTGCAGTTCCTGACAAGTGGAGCCAATTCTTAGGTCAGGTCCCTGGAATCTGAGAGAATGCTGCTACTTTAAATATCCAAAATGGACTGCTTGTAAACATTCAAAATGGCTGTGCCTTGTGGACAGGCAAAAGTCCACAGCTCAACCTGTCTCCCTCTTCGCTGCTTCCCCTTTTATTCACTGGCCACCAGTGCAGTCCTTTGTGCAGCCCCTGGCTAAGCAGGGCTGATTTTTAGGTTAATTCTTAGGTCCTTACACCACTTGGCAATATCCAAGCTGTCTGTGCAGTCAGGGTCGCTGATGGACTGCAGCTCCTCATGTCTCCTTTTTCCATGTTTTCATGCAGGTTCTTCTACTAGTTGGAGTTCTGTCCACTTCTGTATACTTTTCAAAGCTCAGGGCTCCAGGATTATCTTCTATATCTGTGTTAATTGGTTCCCCATTTCTTTGTCGGGAGCTCTGGTGGCATAG